CGACTTAACTTTGACAGGAAGGCATATGTAGATTTTTTTTCTTTCAGACATTCTTGATTCCTACTACACAGGACATACATTCCAGAAATCATTTCACTCTTTGATGGGGTTTCTAAGCCATCACTGCTGTCCTGGATCAGTATTAGACGTCGCCATGCGGATCCAGAAACACATGAAGAGTGGCAGACAATTACTGTTTCAGCGAGAGACGGACACTGGAAAGGAGAAGTCAGGGTGTTGATTACGGAAGTCGAGATGACCATCCTGTGAGCCGTTTCCTTTAGCTGGGGTTCCAGTACCCACAAGCCACTTCTCTTCCCTTTGAGTCCAGCAGCTCTTCTCTCCTCGGCGGAGCCAGCCTCATACTTGTGTGCAGGTTTAATGCCGGGAAGGCGGGTCAGCTCTACCCATACATAATCACTGTTTTATGGCTTTCACTCATTCCTGAGGTGTTAATGCAGATCAAATGGGAAACACTCGAGAAAGAACCCTTGCAGCTACCGCACAGCCTAGCTCTCCCGGCTCAATCGTTAATTCTTATTGTAAGATCTAACGGTAATTTCGTTTGCTCTCTTAATGCCTTGCCGTTCTCCCAGTGGCCCTTGCATATCCTTTCTCAAATTCCCATCTTGATCAATTGTTTGCAAATAATTAAGCTTTTAAGAGATAATGGCATGAGGCTAATGTACACAACAAAGGTGAGGCCTCCTGTCCCTGTCTATCGGAATGGTCAAATTTGCTTTGATATCCCCAAGTGATTAGGTTGATTGCTGTATCTGGCAAGTGCCATCCGTCTTTCCTTCACAAGAACCTCCTGATCTCTCTTAAATTAGTGTCCTTGCCATTCAGGTGCAATAATAGCAGAGGTGTTCAGGGGAATGGCAAGGGGTGACCTAGCCCCTTAGTCACAATGGTTTGGAATGAAATTCTCATTTTCTTCCTAAAATGGCACGTGTCTTTATCTCTTTTGTAAAATGATGTCTACCTTTGCCCATCTTATGGCCTCACTGGCCCTAGGCGGAATGCACCAGGGCTTTGAATGTTTGTAGAGCAGCCTTGCCTGTGGCATGTTGGTTTTTTGCCTTTTTTTTTTTAAGTCTACAAAGGAATAGCTCTTACTGTCCACAGAAAGCTTAGCTGGTAAAGGTGTACAGGGTTTAAGATATTTAAACATACTGGATTTCAGTTAAAAAGCCAACTTCTTTGTGAATTTTTGTCTGGCTGTAGATTAGGTACCTGAAGTCATGGCTTTCATGTAATACTAGTAATTATAGATTTTTTTCCAGGGAATTGAAGGTTTGTGGAACCCCCAAGGCCAAGGACTAGGAGGAAGAAAAAACACTATGCAGTTGACCTGCCCCAGACAAGGGTGTAGGAATTTTGTCCATACCCTTTTTCCCCATTAACAATGACCAGATTACTGTGACATTTAATCTTGTCCAGGCTTATTCACTTTTATTAAAAAATATATATCCTGAACAACTGAAAATGGTTTAATGGAGACAGAGTGCTGGGTCTCCATAGCTTGAGGCTGCCTAGCAATTATGCTGCATGAAATTAGACACAGTTTGTTCCAATTACTTAAAATCAGATCACATGAAAAGTGACAGAGGGGAAAAAAGGGTAGAACTTTCTCATTTTATGATATTTAAATTATGAAATCAGAAACTGCAGGATGTGAAAAACAATCTAAATCTGCACTGAAACTTTGAGGGCCATCTGATTGCTCTTTGAAGCTGTAATGGCTCAGGTAATTTTAATGATCCAAAGAGAATTTTTCTGACACCACTTGCATAAATAAAATGTGAATTCCATTTGCTTTGTAAGACTAGATCTAAAACTTGCTCAGAAACAGGCATGCAGAAATATTCTTGAAAACACAGCACAAATAAATGACTGTGACAATTCTCAATTTTCAAAGTAACTAAAGGTAAGTGGCATAAATATTAATTTTTATCCAGTTCTGGTCATACTATTAAGATACAACTAACAATACAGAACAACGGTACTGCCATCCAGCTATAGTAAAGAGAGACTATTGACATGTTTGTTAATTCTACTGAAAATCACTGAGAGAGATTTTCATAGGAGCCACAAAACTATACAAAAATTACAGAAAATGTTCCAGATTGGAAACCACTCGTGTATATCGGCCTACCACTTTATATGGCAAATACAGTACATTTTCACTTAAAGTCATCAGTAGGTTCTTAACCGTTCATCAAAATAAAGCATACTGAAACCAATTTTACTATCGGCTGATGATGTAAACAAGAGTCAAGTTCCCACAGCATCTCATCAACATTGTAACAAGATGACATTGAGAGAAACGACTTCATCCAGGGACCTGCTTAGTGCCAATAGCTGGATGCTTAGATTTCCATATTTCAAAATCAGGCTTATATTCTGTAAGAATTGCTAGCCTGGGTAACCTTTAACTTTGATGGCTCTTAGCTGACAAAATTGAGAATTAGAAAAGTTGTTCCTTGTTCAAAGTCTCAGTGAGTGGCAGCATAACATACAATCTGATAGGGTCATGTGCGCCTAAGTACAATTCTTCAACTAGTGTTGACATGGAACTACTATATACCCACTTTAATTCTATTCATCGGATAAGAGATTCATTTGCTTGCATTGTGTGGCAAGCCTTTATGCTGTGGGAGGTATGTTTTAAACCTTGGCGTAGAGGATTGCTCTTAGCCCAGAGGATTGCTCTTAGCCCAGTATCCAATCATGAGCTTTTTGCCTGGATGATTGGCACTATGTTGAGTAGGAAGATTGTCACATGATCTTAGCCTATTATGAGGCTTATATACTTTTATTTGAAAAGAGTGGGTTGACTCACTTTTAGGAGTGAAGTAAGGAAAGTGGTGTTATGGATCTCAAATTGCATTGTTTATTCCTCTTGTGGGCTTTGAAAAATTTTTATTGTACCTTTTGAGGTTGCATCTGAGTGACTATCCCTTTATTTCACAACTATTTACTGATTTTCTGTTCTGCTAGTCTGGGATTTGAGAATGGTGAACAACAAAGGCATGGGCTTTGGAGTTGCTAAATGAGTGGGTAGAGACACACCAAGGAAACGGGTAGTCAGAACAAGTGTTTGAGAGAGCATTGCTTGCTGTTAAGGAAGAAGGAAAAGACTGGTGTGAGAGTGATCAGGTGGGCAGGTGGAGAGTGGAGTGGGTAAGGCTTGGCATTTGAGTTGAGATACGAAGGTGACATTGGAGCAGGGACCTGAGTGGTAGGGACAAGCTTGAGTGTTGAAAGGATAGAAAGGAGGGTTGAGGTGGGGCTGAGGAGAAGGCCAACAAGGCCGAGAGGTGGGCAGGGCTGGGGAGTGGCGGGCCTAGCAAGCCCTGGTAAGCAGTCTGAAGGCTTGGGGGCAGGGCCCAGGAGTAGAGATCACATCCCTCTTTCATGGTGAAGCTTAGACCCTGGAAGGGAAACAGGAAATATCGCTGAGTGGTGTGGCTGCTGACCATCTCTTCCCCTGGTCAGTATCCTCACCTGTAAAACAGGAGGGACAATCGATTCCATTTATGTCCCCCAAAGGGATATAATGGGGATTAATTACCATCTTGTCTCTAATATACTTGGAGCTCTTTAGAGAAAGGAACTATATTCCATGAAAGCAAAGCCTTATTCTAATTGTGTATTTATTGATTAAATGACAATCAAAGACAATGCTTATGGGAAAAATTGCTACATCTCTGCCCTCCGCCAACGAATCCCAGGTGTATAGATAGAGAACATATTCCAAGGTGCATATAAGAGCATTAAAGTGGTCATTAACGAGCCTTCTTAGCATCTAATCAGACATTATTAATGAGATTAAAAGCTATGTTAATTAACATTCAATAGACCAGAATTCAGTTTCCTGTGGCACAGACAGTTAAATTGAGAGTTAGGGGTGCCCTTTCCCACCCGTAAGAGAATAGGCTGTTGACTATCAGAACAGTTTTTATCTCGGGAGAGTTTACTAGAATGCAGTGTTTCAAACTAGGCAATGTCTCCATAGATGCACACCGTGTCCTCAGCTCCTGCCCCAGGCTGTAGGAATGTATATTTCCGATTCAGATATAGTTGATTATTGAGCAAAACGTATTTGTGCCCAAACTCATTTCAGTAGAATTCCAAACATTCTTACAAGAAGGTACGGATTTCGCTTTATTATCTAATCCTGTAATGCTTTTTTATCCTGTTTTATGAGGAGCATAGCTGGGCTTGTTCATAGCATGCAAACTATGCTGGTCTTTGACCTTATATTGGCCTATGTTCAGAATCCCAGCATGTGTTGACATTCAGATAGGGAAACAAACTTTGGTTGAAGTGAGTTTGTTTGTGCTTCTCAGAATAGCTCAGAGGAACAGTGGATTAAAAATGCACCCACTTTAATTTTGATATTTGCATCCAGCAATATGGTATTTGGAGGGAGACTGTCATGCTATCAAAGTGCTTTGTTGCTGGAGGCCTTAGCTGAGACGGTTGGTCCAAAAGGTTCTGCTTTGGGAGTCCATGGTTCTAATAAAAATATTCCATCAAGGCGTGTACAATTGTGTATGGTCCAAAGGGCTTGTCTTGATTTTTATCCTATAAAATACAGTAAAAACCTTACTGAACTTTCCATGTTTGCAGCAAATAAACCTGTTAAAGGATAAACTCAGTATCAAGGTTCTGCAAGTATCCTAAGGAGCTATTTATACACTTCACTAATCTTTGTAATTGGCTGTCTTTTACTGCCATTAATTAGATGATGTAGTATTCCATTAATAAGAGTGACACACCTCAGCATTTTTACCTTTAATTAGACTTCGCTAGACACTTAGGTTATTGACAAATAGCCTAAATATTGCTTGACGTACACGTCTCCTGTTTAAAGAGCATATCTGTGTACTATTGAATTCCTGGCCCCTGCCGTGGCACCCGGCATGGGATGTGCACGACCTTCTCTGCCCACAGTACACGCGCACACACCTATCTGTTTTGTTCTCTTCCAGCACCCTTACCCTTCTGAAGAACAGAAAAAGCAGTTGGCACAAGACACGGGACTCACCATCCTTCAAGTGAACAATTGGTAAGTCCTTTGGTTTTGTGTTTGCACACAATCTGCTTCCCCCTCTGGCGACCTGCCGCTCAGGCTCAGGTTTTGCATTCAGAAGACACACCCAGGTCAGCTGTTTTCCCTGGTGGCTTGTCCGATCCAAAAGTGAAAACAAGCTGCGGAGTGATGGGTGAGAGTCTCTGCTAATATGGAAAAGAAAGCAATGCATCGCTTCCCCCTCCTTTATTAACCGTCACTTGCTAGGCAGCGTCTAAGCCAGTGCTTAATTCACCTTCACGATGGCTCTGTGAGCGTATCCCTCTCTATGGCTCCCTTCGCCCCCCTTTTCAGGAAAATCCATTGAAAGAGTAAAACCATCCTATTTTCTATGAAACAAGAAAATCCACCATCACATATCGATCAGGTTTTCAATTCATTGAATAACTAAATTTAGTTAGATTTAGTTAGGGCTGTGCATTCAAGGGACACCCCCTCCTTTTTTTCCTCTTATCTCCTGTCTTTGGAAAAGGAGAAATTACTTGTTTCTACTTTGAAGCTGTTCAAAACCTGATGTGCTTTGGAACTGTTTCTAAATAAATGTGTAAATTCCCGATGGGGGGAGAAGCTGAGATTATGTACCAAGAATCAGCCAACAATATTCTGGCTTAGTGTGTGGTGTATGCAGGGAGGCTTTGAGAGAGTAGGATTTATTACCCTTTGTGAGTGTGCTGAAAGCCAGGCTCCCATCGTTACCCAGAGCTAGTGTCATATTTGAAGGGTATTGAAACCCAATATCCTCTGGAACGAAGTGTATCTAATTAATTGTCCTAATATTTTTAGATTAGTGTTTATGATGGGGGAAACCTTATCCTCTTTGAAGTAAAATCTAGAAAAGGCCCAAAGCCTGGTTGGGGAAAGCAGAGAACTGGGAGTGCCAGTTTGCAGACAGAAGTGTTTCTTTCTGTTCAATAAGTGTCAAAGATTAATATTACTGAATCTCTGATTACATGGCCTAATCCATTTTGGTGAATAAATTCGTTCTTGATGTCCATTGCACCTCTATTAACAGACCCTTCTCTCTGTTAGAGAGCCTGGGAGCCTTTGGGAGAGATTTCAGATATATTAAACTCCATTACAGAGAATGTGATTTCTGTCAATATAATTCCATGTATTCTTCAATTTAGTATTTTAGAGATAACAAGCTCCTTACAATATATTTGCCTTTGGAGGATTAATTTACAAAGTGCACTATCTTCAAGACACAGACAGACTCACATAAGCTGTGCTTGTCAGGGTTATCAATTTCTCTGACCTCACTGCAGCCTTGGGAGATCAATTTTTTGCAGCCCTTTTAGCCAAGTGGTTAGGGAACCAACAGAAGACACGCTGTACCGAGATGTGTTACTAGGAGTTGTGTTGCTGCTGAGGTTTTTTGGTTGGTTTATTTTTACCTGCTCTTGTGTATAAATTTTCAAGACTGTTGATAGTATGTATTTGAATGTAGTCTTTCAACTTGTTTTGGAAGTTAGTATAAGGTAGACCATCAATTTTGCATGCACACCTAAATTCATATGTATAGTTTCCAGGTTAAGCTGATGAGGAGGCAATTTTAATACAATGGAGGCTGCATAAATATCATATTTCCCTGGGAAACGTTCCCATTCGAGGGCCAAGGAGTGGCAGGGCGAGCTCTAATTAGAGAAGGCAAAGCTCTGCCATTCAGGGATCTATCACACATGCCATCTCTCTTCCTTCTCAGTGTTGCTAGCAAACTTCATCCATAAACACACATTGTTACCAGAGACCAAATTCCAAGACAAGTTGCTTTCTACAGGTGGACAGACTTATGGCTATTCCTGTAGATGCCGGGGCAGGCAGGCATTCCCGCGACACCAAGCCACATGCAATTGTTATTTCCTTAAGTTCTAGGCACAGTGATCACAATCTGACTGCTTCAGTTTTGCTATTAGAAGGCGGGGGGGAGGGGGGAGGATCTTGAAGATGTGACAATACATAACATATGATAATTTTTCAAAGTATATGTAGACTTTACCCTAAACTCCATCCTGCTACTCAATTCCGCACAGGTACATAACTTAACAATCACTTTGACTTAGTTACTCAGGACATGAGCACAGTTCTGATCCCAAGTGGCCCTGTGTCTGTGCACATGGTCTCTCTACTTCTACATGGAGTTAGCAGTGACTTTTGCTTGCACTTCATTGCTTCGGATTTGGCAACTGTTCCAACTCTTCTAACAACTTGGTTTGTGGTAGAGAATTCCCCTCAGCTAACTCAACGTTATAAGAGATATTGCTTCTCTTATGTTGGGTGAATAATGACATTCCCATGTTTGATTTGAGTTTTTAACGGTTTATTAATTCCACCCACACTTTCTGTTGAGGAGCTGATAATAGATTTCTTTTTCTTTAGGGTTTGGGTAGGAAATATGATGCAAAAAACCCTGGGATAACCCAGCTGGTACTCACACTAGGATTACTTGAAGACTAAACAGGAGCATAACCACTGAAGTAAAATGGTTTTCATTTTACTCTATCATAATACAAATCACACAAAGCTTTTCTGAGAGCTTGTAAACATTTTTCCTGTATTGAGCATCAAGCTCAAGTTATTTCCTCCGGGAAATAACAATTTTTGAAAAGAATCTTCATTCCCTTTCACTTCATTTAGCCACAACATTTAAAAATCTGTCTTCCTTCCTGGATTTCTTAAAACTTGTTAACACACATGTACATTTTGTACAAACTATGAGTCACCATTGAAGAGATTTAATAAAATGCTGAAGGGCAGGTTGGGTGCAGATCAGTCATAATTATTGGCAGCAACATGATGTATGAAAACACACAGTCTGAACGTGAAAAATATAAACGCATGTCTGGTTGTTAGCTTGTCGTAGAAACCCTGGCCAACGCAGCCATAAGTTAGGTTTTAACTGAAAAATGAGATGAAAAAAAGTTGGGTGCGTTGTAATGGTTCTTTCATCTCATTGCTGACCTGATTCTACGTTTATTTAACTGACATAGGTGATATATACTATCGGCCTTGGCTAACTAAGGTCAAAGCATATGGTGTTTTGGGGAAGAAGAGAACAGGGATAATTTCAACAATAATCTAAATGTAAAATGAGACAGATTTGATTAAGAGAAAGTTTGAATTAAAAGGACTAGCTGTTATAATTTTTATTTTTTTATTTTATTTTTTTAATCTTTAAATTCTTTATTAGTTAAGGAATTACAAATGTGTCCTCATTCCCCCCCCCCATTAACCCCCATCCTGTTATAATTTTTATATTGGGTTTACCTGCCAGAATGAAAACAGAGAGGAAGAACCTGAAAATGACTGGTATTAGTACTTATAGGAATTGGGACCTAGGATGGAATGTGAAATGTATTAAATTTATTAGGTGAGACATCATGGGACAAGTCTGTGCCAATAATTTTTTTGAGGATTCAGACAATAACGCAAATAATTTGGGTTAAAATATTTTTTTACCTAAATTATCTAAGTATTTGAGGTAACTGCATGGTTCTTAAATATCAACTTCCATAACTAATTGCCTAAATATTTCCATCTAGCATGCTGTGATACACTTACACTTGAAGCATACTAATTTTAGAAATATAGTATATGCTATAAATTTCTGTATTCTTCTTTCTTTGCTGCCTCACTCCCCATTATGGTTTGATCCAAAAATGATAAATAATAGCATCTGGGGTTTTGTCCCTTTGTTTTTTCATTGTTGTTGTGTTGTATCAGCAGTGAAAACATGTTACTCATATGTTGAATGTTGTAATCATTTAAACAGAAACTTCTCAAAATTTGAGATTAGATGGTTGTTTGAGTCTTTAACTGTTTAGGTAGAACTTTAAAGAAAACACATACATATCACCAGATAAGGACCGGGCCAGCTGTGGGCTGCCTTGGCTGGCCTGTAGTGTGTGGGTTCTTCACTTTGTGCAGGAAAGATTGCATAGTACAAGCCCAGGTGATTTTGAGAGTATGTTTATTACAGGTGGGGACAATGAAACAAAGGAAGGACTTAGGGAAGAAGAAGCAACAGGAGAGAGCCACACACACACACACACACACACACACACACACACACACACACATACACAGTTAATACTTGGTTCTTTTTTCTTCAGACCAACTTTATTTCTTTATGTTGAGAATGTAAGTGTAGAATGGTCAAATGAAAACTGCCTTATATGTTTTCACAGCAGTGTTGTAGACCTGGGAATTGCACGTGATGAAAACGTGTGCCTGTGATTGTAGCTTATTTGCCGGATGCCTCAGCAGAGATCTAGCCGAGGGTGCGCTGAATACATTTTACATTTCTTTGTTTACTACTTCTCATCCCAACATTTTCCCATTAAGGCTAAAGTAGAATGAATATTCCTTTACCCTCTAAGAAGGCAATACAGATTTTAGGGTGTAAGTCATATAACGTATGTGAAATACAGTATGTATGTGGAGAGAAAAACCACTGTCCAGCGGTCAGGTGCATACAATCCCAGGGAGCATCCTGTCATCCGAGGTGACACTTTACAGAAGTATCTCAGCGCTACCGGTCTCAGGTTGAGTACACGCACCAGAGTTTCCTAGTTGCTTCATTTATTGCCTGCAAAACTGCAAAGCATTCAGGCATCACTTCCCATTCATTCCTAGTTGGGGGGAAACGTATGTTATCCCTAGAGATTTATGCCACTGGCAGGTAAAAATGTAAACTTACTTTTTTAAAAATAGGATCTCCCTTATTATTATAAACAGATTCAACTGGTAAAGGTCAGGTTTCTTTCTGAGTTATGGTAATCATGGAGCAAATACTTTTATAAGTAATCAAAGATCCTATAAATATAGGTACCTGCACAGATGTAAATGTTAAAACATTCACAAATTATCCTTTCAACTTCTGTGATCTAAAAATCAATAGGGGGTCATAGGGTTTCATAGAATTGCTCTGTTTTTTCTCCCAACGTAATTTAATAATACATTTTACAGATGTTGTTTAA